CTTTTTCAGTTTTATTTTGCTGTTGTTGTTCTGTTTTGTTATTTTGATGCAGGGTCTCACTGAGTTGCCCAGGCTGGCCTTGAACTTGTGATCCTTCTGCTTCAGCTTCCCAAGTCTCTGGGATTAGAGGTGTTTACCACCTCACCCTGTATCCCCATTTTTCCATTTCTATGTTTCATGGACATTTATTGGCAGTTCTTACCTTTTTACCTGCTCCATACTGACATCTTTTGAGTGTGTTCTGCCTACACTTGGTTTTCTTCTTGTGGTATTTTTGTCAAGATATCACAATAGTTCTTTTTGGATTATTCATAAAATTTGCATTGGGTGAGTTCTTTCTGGAACTTCTGGCTTACAGTGAATGATTAGGATTAGCAGGTTGCTGAAATTTTGACTTCAGGTCAGTCATCTGCAATCTCTTTAAGGGTGTGGTCCAGCTTCTGACCAGCAGGACATCCTGGCTCACGGTGGAGGGCTTTCTACCATAGGTTTTGTGATTCGTGATTAGCATGTGTCTCTTCAACTGAGATTGAAACTCTTTGTTCCCCTGAAACTTGGTGCCATTTTCTCTATACTTGATAGCTCTTCTTAACATATGATGGGCTACGTTTATAAACATCTAGTTTAGTCAAAGGTGGTGTTTCTTTTACTGGTCTTTTTCCTCCCTATTTTTTTTTTTTTTTTTTTTTTGTATGTTTCAAAGGGAATTGAAGAACAGGTTTTTATTGTGCCTCATTATCTTGGATGTTTTGCTATGATGGTCTTTAATTTGTCTTCTGACTTTTAATTTGTCTTCTTGCTCTTTTATGGACTACTCTCCACAGCCTGCTCATTCAGAAATACAAACCAGAAAGTGTTGCTTACACTGTTTGGCTTAGAAGGTAAATGGCGGGCACCTCAAAATGGCCCCAGGAGCCTGATATGAAATGGCCCCTGCCTCTTACTTACCTAGTCCTAGCTGTTATCAAATCCTTTACATTTTAGCAATACTGAGTTACTTGTACATCTGATAACACACTATGAAATTTCATATCTGTTCTCCTTCTTATATGTCTTTTGCTTCTGTCTGGAATCCTTTCTTATCTAACAAGCTCTTATTTATTCCCCAAAGCCCAGTTTAGATGGTTCTTGCTTTTTAAATTCTTCTTTCGCTCTTTTAGAACAGAATTGCTCTTTCTCTCTGCTCTGTGCTACCTCTTTATTTCATATACAGTTTGATAATTACATTTTTCACTATATCATAATCATGTGCTTATGTATTTTTCTTCTTCACTAGATTACGAGTTCTTTGAAATTGTTCTTCATATCTCTGTCACTTAGCATAAAAATGTACATAAAGAGTTCTCCAGTAATAAATTGAATCAACATGAATTTAAAGATTCAAAGATGAATAATAATTATTTAGGCTTAATAAAATAGAAAGAATTTTAAATGTGAGGCTAAAATTTTTGCTTTGTTTTCTGTTTTGCTTTGCTGAATTTGAATGAAATAAAAATGTACAAAAATTCCAAAGTTAATAAATAAAACATCAAAAGCATAAACATTATGAGATTATAATAGCAGACTCGTGAACAAGAAAGTAGTGAAGATAATGGTAAGTCATGTTGTCACTGGGAATGTTAGTAAGGGTTTACGTTGTGAGGTCAGATGCTGTGTCCAAGTTATGTATCACATGGAGAAAAAGTGAACCACGTCTGGGACAGAGCAAAACATGTCTTTCAGGTATGGTGGGAAGAATAAGCACTGGGCTTTCCTGCATGTCTCAGTTGTCAGCTTGAGGAAGATGATATGTTCCTGAGGTTCAACCGCAGTTTTAAAAATAACCACTTCTATTGCTGATTTCAGAATATTTCTTTTCTCTTGAGTTAAGTTCTGTAAAACTTTTTATGCCCATTTCTAGCAATAATGGATGATGTGCATGTCTCAGTGGTATAATTTAGTGACTTGTTGCAGTGAAAGGTGAAATACTGAGTGAGGATTGAGGTACTCCATATGTCTTAAAATTCCACAAATCCAGGCGTGTGGGAGACATTCAGCACAGAAACTCAACATGACTAATCCTTGCAAAACACTCTGAAATCGATAGTTCTTCCCCACTGCCTGCATATACTGTGGAATGCATCCCCTTGGGACTTTAATGGAGCCATCTGGAATTTTTCAAGTATAATATTAGTGCTTTGCTTTTACAGAAGGTCAGCAAAGGCCCTGCTTCATGAGCTCTGTACCCGAGACACTCAGTTGTCCATGGATTTTTCTTTGTTCCTGTAGCTTTGTGAAAAATTAATTGGAAATATCCAAGACATATTTTTGCTTATTTCTAATCTTTACTGGAAGTAAACATATTTCCCTCTTACTAACTCCTTTTTATGCACTTAAAAACTTCTTTTTATTTCTTAATGCAGTTTAAGCAATTGGCTCATTTTGTTTCAAATATGTTTCTCTGGATTTGCTTGCCAAACCTATGTCTCCTTCCATTCTATACCTCCCACCCCTCTGTTTTTCTTAGCATTAAAACAGTTTAGGGGTGTCTCTGTTGTTGGGTGTTTTGCATCCTTTCACTCTAAAAGTACCCACATTATAAGCAACCTGGAGCTTCAGGCTCTTTGCCAAGGTCTGTTTTCTCGCAGCTGAACTCAAAAATCAGGCCAAGTTGTCTTGAAGGTCATTTGAAAGTAACATCATGATTTTTTGACCAGATCCAGAATGTTCCTGAGTCTGAATATAAGCATGATAGTAACAAAATTAAATCAATTCAACATTTCTGAAGTCCAGGACATACTTATTCTAAATAAGATACAGTTCCAGTTTGCATGAGGATTGCAACCTAGTGAGAAGACCAGTGTGTGACACTACCAAACGGGGAAATCCCAGTGGGGGCCGGTAAGCCACCTCTGCAGAGAGGGAAAGTGTAGTGTGCTGTTTCTCAGACAGCCACGCTTAGAGATTGTGACAAGCTCCTGCTCACTACTCCCACATCCATGTCCCAAACGCCAGTTTCCTTTCCACCAAACCTTGGGATCCTCTGTAGTTTTCACATGGAAAAGTCTGCTTGGAGAGACGCATCAGGTTGAAATTTTTGACATTTTGTTACTAGTGGAGGTTCAAAGTTTTTCTTTCTACTACTACCATATCTTTATACTTAACTGTTTACTCCCATAATAGAAAGTAATTTATTAATTAGTAGAGCAGAATCAACAGTCCAAATCATTCTGCCGAATCATTCTTTTTTAAAATTGTTTTTTTAATTGGTTCTTTTTAGTTATACCTGGCAGTAGAGTCCATTTTGATATGATTGTACAAGCATGAAGTATATCTTATTCTAATTAGAGCCCTAGTCTTGTGGATGTACATGATGGTGGGATTCACTGTGGTATATTCATATATGTAGACAGGAAAGTTATGTCAGATTTTTTCCAATGTCTTTCCTATTCTTATTCCCCATCCCTTCCCTTCATTACCCTTTATCTAATCCACTGAATATCTATCCCTTCCCCAATTTATCCTGTCAACTTCCACATTTCAAAGAAAATATTTGTCCTTTGTGTTTTGGAATTGGTTAGTTCACTTAGCATAATAATCTCCAGATCCATCCATTTACCAAAAAATAACATAAAGTCATTCTTCTTCATGGCTGAGTAATATTACATTGTGTGTATATAGCATAATTTCTTTTATTTATTTATTGAACCCAGGGTTACTTAATAACTAAGCCACATTGCCAGCCCTTTTTAAATTTTTTATTTTGAAGACAGGGTCTCACTAAGTTACCTAGGGCCTCATAAGTTGCTGTGGCTAGCTTTATGATCCTCCTGCCTCAGCCTCCCAAACCACTGGGATTGCTACCATACCTAGTTACCACAATTTCTTTATCCAGTCATCTGTGGATGGGCACCTGTGTTGACTCTTTAGCTCAGCTATTGTGAATTGTGCAACTGTAAATATTGATGTGGCTGTGTCACTATATGCTGAATCATTCTTGCCCCAATATGTATCATTATGTCCTAAATATAAATAAATAGTAATAGAAGGATTTAATTGCCTGAATCTATCTTTGGTCAACTTCCTGTTATAAGGTATAGTATGAATTCACTCAGAGAAGAGAACTCCTCATGAATGAGGGAAGCGTATAGTTTCTTGGGTTTTCCTTCAAAATCCCAACAACTCTGAATATAGGGCTACATGTCACTAATTTTCCCTAAAAAGAAAAAAGTTGGCAGTTAAAACTGTAATCTTTGGAGATAGAGGTGAGTTAATCTACAAAACTGACTCTGTTGCCCAAACTGCTTCAATTAGGAGACAACAGAGGGGGGAAAGACTTTTATGGTTGACACAATGCTTCATTTGATATTTAACTATCATAATTTGAGATGAACCCACAGATGGTACATAAAAGTAATTGGTTTATGAAAGTTGGTTAGACTCTAGTGGTTGACTTCTTGCCTCAACCATTTCTCATATTCTTAGAGGAATAAAGCCAGCATACAGAGAGTCTTATCTCAAGCTCACTCAAACATAAAATTCCAGAAAGAGTGGAAAAAATAATAATGGTAAAGGCACATGTCATTTATTTTACTTCTGTCTCATTTTTGACTGAGTAGACACACACATACACATAACCTAATGCCCCTTACATTCCTAGCATTTTCTCTGGAGGCTTGGCTCTGAGCACTAGGTGATATCACAGAACTTCACCCAACACCATATTTCTATTTTGCTTTTATCTGTCATAAGCTCAGACTGTCTTAAGTTTGTTGAAGCCCAGTGACATCATGCATAGACTGACATTTTAGTAACCCCTGCTGTCCAACCAATCCAGGTAAGATTTAGGGGTTATTAATTTGCAATATATTATGCAACTAGTACTTTAATTAAACTTTGCACTCTATCGATAGTTTCTAATTAACTGGATTTGGGGAGTATAATTTCTATGAAGTCATTTGTGATGATTGTTAATCATTATTATATGCAAAATATTTATTGTGCACATTTTCTCCTTTTAGGTCACCAGTCTCTTCTGAAGATCATGGTAAGAATCCATCTTATTTATATTAATTCAGTATTAAAATTTGACCTCTGGCTTAGGAGTTTCACTGTCAGAATGAAGAATTGTTTAAGAAAGTATCTCTAAATGTTGGCCTTGTATTTTTTTTTTTTTAGTATGAATGTCAAACACATTTCAAAAGTTATCATGCTAGTTGAAGTTGATATTTTGTATTATTTTGGAATCTGCTACAACCATGTTGGTTGACTAATATCAGGACACAATGTATTCTGCCTGATTTGTTCTCATCTGCCAGAAATTTTCTGTGACTCTGGTTACAAAATCTCTGAATCAGATTTCCATCTTTCAAATGGGAGTTATAATAGATATTTCCCAAACCCCTCCAGATTGGACATTGGGACCATATTCCACTCCATCCATTTGCAGAATGTTCTAAGTCTGAGATGAAGCCAGTTAGTAAATGTGAGTTGTTACCCAGTTGAGTTGAGTTTACATTTTAAGAGACACCTGGTTCACTCAAAGGATAAAATATCTAATTGTGTCTCCTTTAACCTCTAGAGTCGTTTTTTTCAGTCACTCAAGAACTTCCTTGCTAGGCATGGTAGTGCAGGCCTATAATCCCAGAGGCTGGGGAGGCTGGGACAGTAGAATCCAGAGTTCAAAGCCAGCCTCAGCAATGGTGAGGCACTAAGCAACTCAGTGAGACCCTGTCTCTAAATAAAACACAAAATGGGGCTGGGAACGTGGCTCAGTGGTCATGTGCTCCTGAGTTCAATCCCCACTACAAAAAAAAAAAAAAAAAAAAAAAAAAAAAGTCCTTAAGTGGCTACATAGTGAGTCAATTATGCTATGTCATTTACAAATATCCATGTGAGATTTTAGTTCATGGATCCTGTGTCTTTCCCAGACTTTGGAGATTGTCTCATACCTTGTATCCATACCTGGATATGTCCTTCCTCTGGATCACTTTGTACAACACCAACTGCTCATGGTCAAAATCTATTACCTGGGAGGTGACATTTTTCTAGCAGACCAATATCCGTGATGAACACTCCAATACTGTATTTTAATGTGGACTAGTAAGCCCAAATGATGGAATCTTCATTTTCTTCTACTTTAGATTGTTTCATTTACCATCTTCTTCTCTTCTCCAATGCATGATTTATACTCCAGCCATATGGAGCCACATCTAAATTCTGAAACTCACCATATTTTTTATATCTTCTGCTTTTATCCCCTGCTGTTCTTTCTGCAGGAAACGACTTCTCCCTTTGCCATATGGACAGTTTCTGCTGAGCTTACCTTTTCCTCTGAGAGCTTTTTGATCTACTCACCATTGTGCCAAATATTTATTCCATGCTAAGGCTTAACATACAAATTTAATTCTTTATTTAGCTGGTTCCCATCTTACTGTGAATTCTTTGATGTAGTTTCTAGTGAATATAAAACACTCAAAATCTATTAAATGAATGAATTAAGGAAATGGGAGGGAGCCTTAGGCAGTCTCTCCAGCTGCCACATCATGTCCCAATATTGGAATGAAGTTTGTATCATGTTCTATGAAGAGTCATAGAGAAAATTATGTTCAGGTCCATTAAATCAGAATTAGGTAATCAACCACCTAATGGTAACCCATCATTAAAAGCTATTTTGTTGATTGTTGCTAGTATGACTAGGTTTATGATTGGATATTTGTAGGTCCTTGGGCTTCCATGTCCAAGAAATAAACTAGAAACTTGTATTTAGTTTTTATTTTGAACTAGGTTTCCTTCTAATGCCCTTTAGTTACTTTTGCCTTCCTATCTATAAGAACTTATACCTTGTTCCAGATTGAAGAAAAAAAAGAAGGGGAAGAGAATTTAGAATTACAGTTCTGTCATTTGCTAGAACTTCCTTCAAGGTTATTACATATCACTGAACATATGTGAGAGTCCTTTGAGGTCTTGAAAGGTGATAGCTACCAGAAAGACTCTCTCAGTATTAAGAGCACATCGGAATTGATTATCTTAACAACAGTTGTATGTAATTAGCTGAAGAAATGTTATCCAAATTAGAAGTCAGTTATATTTTTGTGACTACAAAAAATGTAGTAGATGCCCATGCCTCCATAATTTGCTTTTGCAGCTTCTAAAAAATAGTTCAAACGTGCAATACTGATTTATCTAATTTTATCTCATTGTTTATCACTTTCTATCTCTCTTTTTTTCTCCTTGAAAAAAGGTCAGTATCTTTTTTTAATGTGTGTGTGGTGCTGGGGACTGAACACATGGCCTCATGCCTCTATCACTGAGCTATATCTCCAGTCTTTATCTTCTTATTACAAGGATTTTCTGTCTCATACTCAACATATGTTTTCTATGTTTGCACATTTTCAGAAGTTTATATTCAGTATGACTAGCATAAAACCTCTTGAATGTCATGCTATTAATCCTACATAGCATGTACACAGCAATGACATTGCAATACACTTGTAAGGAGGGTGAATCAAATTTCTCAAATTTATGGGTGATAAATTTGAGGTAGGCAAATGGATTGTGAAATTGGAATATAAAACCCTATGCCCCTTGATTTTCCATTTTGTTCACTTTCCACCAATGATCCTGCCTTCCCCTGAAACAACTGATCCCTTTGACTATTACTGAAAGAAAATTCATTCTTGGGAAAATCCAGTTTTGAGAAGCTCAATAATCCTGGTATTTGTCATTTGTTCAAATACCCTTTATAGAGAGCTGGAATACAGTGGCTTTGCCATCCACCATCTCTTGTTCTTAGGTTTGTTTAAAGGAAAACATTCTGTAAAATGGGGCTAATTCCATCTAGTCTGTGTATCTCGTCCATTATTGTAAGTTCAAATGGGAAATCATCTGAGAAATCTCCTTCTAATTTGTTACAAGCACATCATCCATGGTGGTGTTACTTGTTCGCATCCAGGCAGTCAGAGGAAGCATGGTTTTACTGACATGCTTGTTTATCATTGCATATGGCATTTGAAAAGTTAAAAGAAGCAGGAAGTAGTTAGGGGGAGAACTTTCCCTTAAATTTTATCATCAACTTTAACTCTTCACTGGGTACACTTTTTACCTTAGAGTGAGGGAAAGTAAAACATTGTATACATAATTTGACTTGTAGAGCCAAAATAAAGACTCATTTCATGATTGGATGCACAGTCATATAGCATTGGCAATATCAGGCATAAATGACATACAAACTATGTGTGTTTATATAATAGAATATCAAGATCATTGAGAATAAAGACTCAAATTTATTGAGCACTCATTTGAAAGCACTGTGCCAAAATGCTTCAACTGTGTTATTTCCTCTTGGACAAATAAAACTCTAAAATAGATGCATCATCTCCAGTTTTTACAGCTAGGAAAACAGGTGCAGACAGCTTAAATAACTTGCTTAAGGTCACCTAGCTGGTAAGTGGTAGAATTAATTTTTAAACCTAGTTGTAACACCCAACTCTGGCTCTTTTATCCACCCTGTCTCTGGGAAATAAAAGAAATGATTTTCAGCATTAAAGTGGCTTGATAGAATCATCTAGAAAAGAAAAAAAAAAAAGATCTTCCTTCCCTCTAACAAGAGTTTATTTACTGCTGTGTAAGTAATTTCTTTTTAATGACAAAACAAAACAGAACAAGAAATAACAACTTCTCCCTTTTACTGGGAAAGATTTATCCCTGTAGAAAAAGTAAATACCGATGTCACATTTTCTCATAATTAGTGAACTGAGTGAAACCGGAGCGTCAGGGAAACCTGCCACACGGGGTCCCAGTGGGAACATTACATTTTAATGTTACATCTGGAAGCTGAGCTCCGCTCCTTGTCAGGAGATAAGCTCGGCAGTGATTGATTGCCCCATCCTCTGAGTTTCCTCTGCACTTAGTGCCTATCACTTCATCATTCAAATTGCTTTTGGAGCCACCTCCTGTGCCCAGGCGGCTCCCAGCTCCCAGCTCCTGTGCTCTGCTCGGTCATCTTGGCCTGCTTGTTTTACAGGCAGCCTCTGCCTGTGCCAGCAATCTGAGGGAAGGTCATCTTCCAACTAATGTCTGTTCCCTGACGAACTCTAAAGCATTAATGGACTCCTTTGAAAGAAAGTGCCAAAAAGCTGCTTGATTCCCGTTGGAACTCGGAGGCCGGTGTCACTGTCCTGTCCTGCCTCCTACACCTGTTGGCAATCGCGACTGTAAAATTCTATGCTAGCTCTTTTTTTTTTTTTTTTTTTTTTGTCGAGGCAGTAACATAGGAGACAAGCATGGTGGCACTGGGTGTCTGGAGATAAAATTGTGTCGAGTGTGCACGGATGAGTCCATGATTGGACTCGGGGCGACTGCCCCTTGCAGTCAGTGGAACACAAGAGCCCAGAGCTCTTGGAGGCATCAGGAACAGCCCTTGTCAACTTAGTTTTCTCTGATACATATATTTATTAAAATAAATAGTATTCATAAAAATGTTTAAAATTTCTCTGCTCAGTTTAAATAATAATCGAAAGGAACTCCTGTGACCCATTCACTTACCAAGAAGGAAAACTTTTCCATCACCTGGGAGCCTCATGCTCTCTGCCTTTATGACCATGTTCTCTTCTCACCTCCTCAGAAGTAATTACTCTTCTGTCTTCTTGTTAGTGGTGTCCTTGTTTCCTTTTATCATTTTACCACATAGATGCATATATGTGTGTGTATATATAATGTTTATGTGTATATGTATATGTGCATATACGTATATGCATACCCACATGTGAATCCATATATGATTGTATACACAAATATTTATTCCAAATATTTGTGTATATGTATATACTTTTGCCTATTCTGAGCTTTTACAAGTTTAATCAGGTGATTTGTTTCTTTTCTTTAAAATAAGGTTTGGTGATTCAACCCTGATAAGTATCATATTCATTTCACTAGTTTTGCATGTGATATAATATTCTACTGTATGAATATATATACCAGTTTATACGTGTAATCTACTGCCCATGAATGTTGATATAGACTATAGGAGTTTTTATTTGTTTATAT